TTTTTGTTTTTTTTTGTATTAATATCTAGGTTTTCTTTCAAACTCACACCCAAACATTACCTCACCATTCAGTTAATCATTTAGCTGGCTAACCATGCCTGTTCAGGAAGTTTATCTGCTTTTAATGCCTTAAGGGAGTAACACCTCTTCACAGGTTTCTTAACAATCAGACTTTCAAGTGCATGACGATATCTCTACAGCCTTCACTGTTATTAATATATGGTTTCACTTGTGAGAGTTTCATGTGAGTTATTAGTCGTTGGGATGGTTCCCATCAGTGAACCGTAAACCAAATGGTATATTCATTTATCATACAGTCTCTACAGTCCTCCGGAGCTCTGCAAGCACCCATGAAGATACAGCTGAAATATTTTTTGCAACAGTAATGTCAACACAGTCCAGGTCAACGTCAGAGTGTTTCTTAAACGGCTTCAGTTTAGTCAACATTAACAGGCTTAGTAGCCATAACACAGACCATTCATTTAATTTACGATAGCGTGTGGTTGCGTTAAGGTGCGGTCATATTAGCGAAATTTTTAGGTAAAAAAAAGATCCATTGTTAGTCAATGAAGCTCACACAGAAGTCACTTTTAAACCAAGCGGCTTTCTGTTAGTCAATGTGACAAATTTGACTAACTTGAACCCTGTTCCTATTGAAATGACTTGGATTCCTGTTGAAATTACTTGATTTCACCCCCCCAAAAAAGCAAAACGGTGATAAATGTGACAACTTTAGGCTTGGTTTTGGATTTAAACTGAATCTTGAGAGGGTTTTGGAGAAGTGAGACATACGAGGATCTAAGCTGCCTTTTGTTTATTGTACAGTTCGAAAGAGAGGCCTGGAGCCAGATAAAGGTCAGTCAGGGTTCAGCAGAGAACATCAGGAATGACATCAGTTCAACAAACACTGGGATGACTGCAGGCATGTCATGTACCGGCGTACTGACGTGAAGATGATTATGGTATTACTCTTCCATCAAGCTTCATTGGGCTTCATTGTTCTGAAAAAGCTGCTTGGTGGTGGCACGGATCTTGATTTGTAATGGATAACCGCTTTAATATTGAAACCCACCAGAGAACCTCCTGGCGCAGATAATAATGGAAAACAAGATTTGAGACAGAGTGTTCCAAGCTGTAGGGGGGGTTTTAGTAGAGGCACTCGGTTCCCTCCTTCAGTCTGTCCACTCTTTATTCAGCTGTGATACAGAATGTATGTGTTCAACGTACCCCCCACCCCCAATGCCATTTCCAAACTCTTCTGTTTCCCAGGCCTTGTTCTCACAACGGCTGGGTTTATTTTAGCAGGGGTGAGTCAGACAGAGTGGTCGCTCTCCCGGGACTTCGGCAGAACTGGGTGTGCTAGGCCTCATTCTGCAGCCAATCTGATCAGCTCTGTGCTCCCCAGTGCCGATGATGGGTGGAAGCGGGGGTCTGCTGGGGATGTTCCACGCTCCGCTGTCCCATTTGTCACGATCAAATGCCATCCTCCTCTTTAAATGTTTTGCAGAGGAGTGGTGTTATTCTCTTGAACCAACATGCCTACGCTTGTGTGTTTTGAAATGTATAAACTGAGCCGTCTTGTTAGGATGGTGAAATAGCATTCACGGTGTATGTAGTAGGCTGTGCATAACGGCCCGCATTTCACCTTTTCGCTTGTCTTTTTGATGTTCTTGGTTGTTAATGCACCAGTGCCTCCTCATCCAAAGCGTAACAGCTTGCATCTCGCTTTTTATGGACAGCAAATCCAAAGTCAAGAGTTCAAATGACATCACCTCGAGAAGTTGATAGGACCATTGCAGTGTTTATTATTTTGTGCTGTTGTTGATCTCTTTTATAAACAGCATTCTGTTGTATGTTTGATTTTGAGGTCAAAACTGTTGAGATTTTTTTTTTAAGCTTAATACTTTTAATACATTTCATTTCAAGTACAAATCTTGGATTGACCTCATCCCCGAAACATTTTGGATGAAAGATTAAATGTTGTGGATTATTTGTGAAGTGTTAAGTTCTAAAATTATTTATTACCAGAAACACCAAAACCAAGCAATACTACCACTATTAACTATTCGCTATTCAAATTATGCATACCTATTCAAGTTTTATATTCCACATTTACTACAAGGGTATTGGCCTTTCTTTCTTTATTCATTTATTCTTTCATTCATTCTTTTATTATTATTATTATTATTATTATTATTATTGTAGTACCCCAGTGTATATGGTGCTATAAACCTGTCAATCATTTTAGTATCATTGAGATACTATTATAGTATTTATTATTATTTTGAATTAGTTTTTGTAATTATAAATTTATATGTTTGTTTTCATTTTAATTTTTTTAAATCATTTAAATCATGTTTGTTGTTTGTTGTGTATATAAATTAAAAAAAATATCTGTATAGTTTGTTAGTAATTTTTAATTGTGTTTCAGTTTTAGTTATTCAAGTACATCAAGTTAAACTAAATGAAAATGAGAAATCTTGGCAACTAGCTGAAATAAGATAATTCCTCGTTTGTTTTATTTCAGTTTTAGTTTTAGTTAAAGGGATAGTTCACCCAAAAATGAAAATTCTGTCATTAATTACTCACCCTCATGTCGTTCCAAATCCAAAGACCTTCGTTCATCTTCTGAACACAAATTAAGATATTTTTGATTAAATCCGAGAGCTTTCTGTCCCTCCCATAGACAGCAATGCAACTACCACGTTCAAGACCCAGAAAGGTAGTAAGGACATCATTAAAATAGTCCATGTGACATCAGGGCTTCAACCGTAATTTTATGAAGCTACGAGAATACTTATTGTGCACAAAGAAAACAAAAATAACTTTATTCAACAATTTATTCTCTTCTGTGTCAGTCGACGCACATTCTCGAGAGTACCATGACGCATCGTGTGTGGTGCTGCTGACATTGGAGCTGGCTTTCTGACGTAGAACCCGGATGCACTGTGTCTTGTTTACAAGCAGAGGAATGTACAGAGTTACGTCGTTGTACTTTCATGAATGTGCGTCAAAGATTGACACGGAAGAGAAGAAATTCTCTTCATAAAATTACAACTGAACCACTTACGTCACATGGGCTATTTTAATGATGTCCTTACTACCTTTATGGGCCTTCATTGTGGTAGTTTTGCTGCTGTCTATGCTTTGATTTCATCTAAAATATCTTGATTTGAGTTCTGAAGATGAACAAAGGTCTTACAGGTTTGGAACGACATGAGGGTGAGTAATTAATGACAGAATTTTAATTTTTGGGTGAACTATCCCTTTAAAAGTAGAAACTCATCGAAGTTACATTTTTCTGTTTTTGCTTCCTCCACAGTGCTTCAGTTAAGACTACTGCAGAGGCGCACACGCGAGCAGCTCGCAGACCAGGGCATCATGCCACGTGAGTATGCATGCTTCATGGAAACATAACGCTCAAATGTCAACTATTAATGTTTAGACAAATTCAGCCTGCATGCAGTGGACTTTCATGAAAAAATCCGTTGCGCCCGAAAAATGTTAATCAAATGATCTACTTCCTTGTTATTTTAACTCTTAATGCAGCATCATTAACAGTGCCACTCACATTATCACCTAAGCTCTGCACACACACTGTACTTATTCTTCATTAAGTGGAACACATTTACCTCCAGACACAGTTTTTTGTAGATTACACTTTTGACAGCAGGGGGATGGAGTAAGTTATGCATGTTGGTAAGGAGAGCAGTTCTAATAAAAGAAAGCGTCTGTTGAGGATACAAACTGATAAGGAAGGAGAGCTAGAACAATGGTGTGACTGATGTCTGTCTGGAACAGCGGGAGCTGTCCTGCTCTCTCTGTGCTTGCCGTCTGTATAGGGCCCCTAATGTCATGGTCCAAGCTCCAAGAGTAACAAGAGTGAGTCAGCGACTGGGCCTGCACTTTTGCTCAGCAAGATCTGTGGTTACCTCCCAGGCTTTAGTCAATGCTTAATGGCTTGGATTCTCCCACAAAGACCAGTTCTTGCATTCTTTAATCATATTAATGTCAGGCTTATACCTTTCCTGAAAGTGCAGCAGACTATTTAAGAGTCCACTCTTGGTTAGTGATATATGACTAATCAGGGTGAGCAACTAATGTCTTTGCTAATCAAGCCGTAGCGACTGTGACATAGCACTCATTTCCTGTTGACCATGAATGTAGATGACAGTTCAACACCCACTGAAATACTCGTAGCAGAAATTTTTCTTGAAATGTTGTTTGAAAAAAATATTTTTGTCTTCCAGTAAACAATATTTCAAAAATATTCAAAAATGGTTAAAACATGATTTATGCAAAGGAAAATTGCATAAAATAATTAGACTTGTTTTCAGAGAGTATATCTTGAATTAATTTTGTTTTTCTTTACACATTGGCAGATTGACTTTTGTTTTATGCATATATCTAACAAAATAGCTTTAAATAGCAAAATATAAAAAAAAATTAAAAAAGCTTTGTGCCATGAAAACATGATGTTTTATATAACAGGACATTAAATAATGTCATTTGACTTCTTGTTTTGAAATGAAGGCTTTGAATATATTTTTCTTTCCAGCGCTGAAGACACCTGCAGCTTTTCACGGGCAGGTCAGAAGTCTGGAGAGAGCAAGAGTAAGACTCAAACGCTCAAATATTCCTACACTTTGCATTATTTATTAGTGAACTGGACATTACACAGGTTTAGTAATATAATGTTATAGAAAAATCACAACAGTTCCATTATATGTGTTGTTTATCATCATCAAGTCATGAGTCTGAGTAAAGAAATTGAACAGATTTGTTTACATCATTATTTCATACTGAGTTAATTAATTACATAATATATTACACTAGAAATCAACATTTAACAGCTACTAGAGTGCTATGAGAACAATAACAGATGAATTTCATGGAAATTCTTAATTCAATTACTCGTATTGCATTTTCATCATACAGACTGAGAATTTCCTGAAGCATAAAATCCACAGCAGACCTGACCGCTCTGAACTTGTTCGTATGCACATTTTACAAGGTACGCACCTTATCAAACAGATGTGATTTTTTTTTTTTTAGCTCTTAAGAGCATTGTCAAAGTCTTTTGTTTCACTTCCTGGATACTTAATTTATCACGCAGCTTTAGTTCAGTATGGTCTGATGTTGTTTATGTATTTCAGAAACCCACGCAGAGCCTTCTTTGCAAGCCACTCAGATGAAACTAAAGAGGGCGCGTCTAGCAGATGACCTCAATGAGAAGATTGCACAGAGGCCTGGACCAATGGAACTGGTGGAGAAGAAAATTCTGCCTGTTGACATTGGTAAAAAAAACAAAAAAAACAATGAAATAGTATTATTTTCATGCTTACTCAAATTAACTGGAATTGCCAAAGTAAATGTCAGTTACTAAATAGTTTTGTTTTGTGTGGGGTTTTTTGTTCTTTTGTTTTGTTTTGGTTTGGTTTTCTTTGTTTTGTTTTTTGTGTTTATTGCTTTTGTTTTGGTTTGGTTTTCTTTGTTTTGTGTTTATTGCCTTTGTTTTGTGTTTTGGTTTGGTTTGGTTTGGTTTTCTTTGTTTTGTTTTTTTGTGTTTATTGCTTTTGTTTTGGTTTGGTTTGGTTTTCTTTTTGTTTTTTTGTGTTTATTGCTTTTGTTTTGGTTTGGTTTTCTTTGTTTTGTGTTTATTGCCTTTGTTTTGTGTTTTGGTTTGGTTTGGTTTGGTTTTCTTTGTTTTGTTTTTTTGTGTTTATTGCTTTTGTTTTGGTTTGGTTTGGTTTTCTTTTTGTTTTTTTGTGTTTATTGCTTTTGTTTTGGTTTGGTTTTCTTTGTTTTGTGTTTATTGCCTTTGTTTTGTGTTTTGGTTTGGTTTGGTTTGGTTTTCTTTGTTTTGTTTTTTTGTGTTTATTGCTTTTGTTTTGGTTTGGTTTGGTTTTCTTTTTGTTTTTTGTGTTTATTGCTTTTGTTTTGTTTTGTGTTTATTTTGTTTTGTTTTTGTTTGACACTGCAGTTGGAGAACTGGATGTTTATAACTTCAATGAGGACAGCAGTGAAGCTCTGTCTCCAGAGCAGCCAGCTAGTCATGAGTCTCAAGGCTCTGTATCTTCTCCTGTAGAAGCCAGACTGCCTGAACCATCCTCTGTTTCACCTCCAACTGGCTCCAAACTCCAGGTCAGCGTCTTAACAGTCCCTATATTCACATCCAGACTGATTACCAGTTCAGAAATATTCAGTTCTAATATTTACAGTTAGCTTATGATGAATAGGTCTGATAGAGAATGCTTTCATTAAAGCATATGAAGTATGAAGCTCTCCAGAAGAGCTAAGTAGCTTCTGTTTTCTCTACAAGTTATCCAGACATCAGCCTTGTGTTGCTGGTTAGATTTATACGTCTCTGTCCCTTCTTATGGACATATGGCTTTTAATCTCTTTTTATCAACTGTGTCCACCTACAACCCAGAGTTCAGACTTCCTGAACAGAACATCAGTAGAAGATGGCCGAGTAATGACTTCCACTCAGACAGTCACTGCTGCTGCTCCCACAAAGCCTGGACCCACCCTTGTGAAGGTAAACCATATGTCCTAACCACCATGATGTAATTTCCTGCCTATGTTTATTTTTGAGATAAGGGTCAGTGACTCACAGCATTACTGGCTAATTTCACAATAGCAACTCCAGCTAAATAATGACATATACCACACTGACTGTGAAACTGAAAGAGTAAGAGGTAATAAATTGATAATGCTGTAATCATAGTCAGACATTAACTGAAAAATATGAGTCATAGATTGATTAAAATACTGATGCTAAAGAGTTTTTATAGAATTTTATATACACTAGCATTCAAAAGTTTGTGGTCGGGAAGATTTTTAACATGTTTTTGAAAGAAGTCTCTTATGCTCAACAAGGCTGCATGTATTTGATCCAAAATACAGTAAAAATAGTAATATTGTGAAATATTATTACAGTTTTAAATAACTTGTTTCTGTTTGAATGTATTTTTAATGTAATTTATGCCTGTGATGCTAAGCTGAATTATCAGCATCATTACTCCAAGAAATCATTCTAATATGGTGCTTTGCTGCTTAAGAAACATTTATTGTTATTATCAGTATTGAAAACTATTGTGCTGCTTAATATTTTTGCGGAAACTGTGAAAAGAACAGCATTTATTATAAACATCTTTACTGTTACTTTTGATAAATTTAATGCATCCCTGCTGAATAAAATTATTAATATCTTTTAAAAAAAATCATACTGACCCTAAACATTTGAACAGTAGTTTAAATCTTTGGTAAAAAAAAAAAAAAAAAGATTGCGTTCGGTAACACAGCGTAAAGACAGGAGAGCAGAATAGCTGTTTTTTGTCATACTAAAAAGCTTGTTTACTACAACTTGTCAAAGGTACCTTAGGCCAAATCAGTTTCAGAAGAGCAGCAGATGCAGAGCTACAAGTGCTAGCAGCTGTCTTCTGTCTTCAGTTAGAGGTTAAATGAAACATTCACACTCATAATGCGGAGAAGAACAAACTGAAGCTGGGGACAATGAAACAGGAGTCAGGCAATAACTTGTGCATTTATCATAATCCATGCCTTCAGAGCATACTCCACATATTTACTCCATGACAGAGGGTCACTGCTGACCCAGTGGAGCTTCGGGAACCTGCTCATACATAAGCCGGCTTGAAATGGTGTGTTATTACATCCTGATGACTTTCAGCTCCCTTCCCCAGATGCCAAACCATTTTCATGTGTATCCTGTGACGCAATATTTAGGAACAATGAGGGTCATGTCCCCTCCATGCATCCTGTTTCCTCTTCCTATGATTTTAGGTAGATGTTCATACAAGTCCCACCTAGTCACAGCAGTTGCAAACTTGCGGTTTTGCCCACAAATCTCTCAGCTTCTGGTATTCTCAGAGTTCTGACATCTCTGTTAGCAAGAGAACTGAGCTAGTTGAAACATTATGGGAATCACCTAAAAATCACAAAGCAAATAGACTTGTGTTGCACTAACTGACTAACACTGACTAGCACTAACACTGACTGTGGGATTTCACCTTTTGTTCAGTTCTTCTGTCCTTTTTTCCATGCAGCAAAGCCAGCCCAAACAGTCCAGTGACAAGAGCCGAAGCAAGAAGAGTAAAGAACCCAAACCGCGAATTAAGAAGCTCAAGTATCACCAGTACATCCCACCAGACCAGAAGCAGGAACCCAATGAAGCCCCGATGGACTCGGCATATGCCAGGCTGCTTCAGCAACAGCAGCAGTTCCTGCAGCTCCAGATTCTCAATCATCAGCAACAGCATTACAATTACCAGGCCATATTACCAGCACCACTCAAGTATGTCACACTTCCAATATAGTTTCCAACATAACATGCAACCCTTAGCATAAACACCTTGTGTCACTAAAACCTTAACATGAAAAGCGTTTTTCACAACCAATTTGTTTAATAATTCACATATTATATAATAGAATGATTCAACATGAGTATACTATGTTCATTATTCTTTCAATGTCATAACATGTTGTTTGAATCTGGATAAACAGGAACACATTTAATTTCTGAGTATTTGGTAAACTCTGTCAGTGATGTAATTTTACATGAATGAAAAACACATTTCTGAAGAAAAAAAATGCTTTGCTGCAAGAAAAGTGGACAGCTCAAGCTATCCAAATCACAAGACAATTTTATTTAATGTTAGATGTGTGTGCTGTTTAATGTTTGTTTTCCTCCAATACATAACTTGCATTTTACAGTTGCATTGTGTAGTTGTAAGTGTTACAATTTGAGTATTTGCATTTTGCAAAAAGACTTGCATGCACATTGACCAGACTGATAATATAGTTTTGACTAAAATATTAATTTTGACAAAATATTTTGTTTTTGGACATAATTCAGCTTTAAATTGATTTTAATTAGAACATTCTGAATTGAAATCATACATTTAACACATAATACAATTGTTATGAGAGACATGATAAGTCTATTATATTCATAGAATAGTAATATGTTCAGAACATTATACCTCTTGTATTATTATTAGTAGTAGTAGTAGTAGTAAGTGATTTAATCTGTCTGTCTTTAGGATAGTTTTTGTGTGCATTAATGTATAGCATAGCCTACAATTATTCTTTTATATTTGTTTTGTATAGCTTTCAATTTGCACATTATTTTGGAGGAGAATATTGAGCAGGGGATGGAACACTGTATATTTTTCCAGTATATACAATAATTACATTTGCCCTTTTTATATGTACATTGTGCAGATTGTCCATAAAAAGTGCTGTGCATCAACTTGCTACAGTAGCACTGTAGTTTGGCAGTAGTTTATAGAGTTCAATGCCTTGGGGAACACCGGCACTTTGTGCATATGGCATAAAAGCATAATGCTAGTTCACTTGCGTAATGTCAGTTCAGTTGAATAATTGGTTACGGACCAGTGCAATTGCATATGATTCTGATATATCAGCTCTGACACTAAAAGGATTTACTGTGAGCCTGATTGCTTTGCAGCAGAAGTATGTAGCTCAGAAAAGAATGTGAGCGTTGTGTACTATGAGCGATAGCCTTTAAATAATGGTTTCACCTACTAATCATGTCTAAAAGACCTGTCATCACCCCAGCTGTAGTACGGCAGTTCCTCAAATTATTTTCCATTTTGGCTTCTGTTGCTGCAAGATATACCTCTGCTTCTATTGTGTAGAAAGACCGTTTATTGTGAATGATGAGGGAACAGGAAGTTCCCATTGCATTTAAAATCCTTCATCCTCTACAGGCCAGTAGCTGAGAGTCAGAACAGCTGCCCCAACATCACATTGAGCACCAGCCCGAGTCTTTCCGCTCCCATTGTGGTATCTCTGCCGAATGCGGCTCCTTCACGTGCCAACAACACTGTGACCGGTCGTAAAACCGGGTCTCTGCCTACCAACCTAGATGAGATGAAGGTGGGTAACATGCTGATTTTTTTCCTGCTCCTACAATATATAAGTATGCAGAAGTACCACTGTTCTTTGAACCTCTAGGTGACTGAGCTTAAGATGGAGTTGAAATTGCGAGGACTTCCTGTATCCGGCACCAAAACAGATCTCATAGAAAGGCTTAAGGCCCACCAGGAGAGCTCTCAATCTGCTACAACCATGGATACAAACATCTCCAAAGCTTCTCTGCAGCCTGACAGCATGAGCACAACTCCACCCGTTTCTCCTGAGGCCTCCAACATCAGTATGAAGAACAGCAGAGACAGTCCCACCAAAGCTCTATTTACGTTGTCTCCAGCCCGTCCACCAACAGGCACCTCACCCCTCAAACCCGCACCTGAAGACATGACCATGGACATCAAGGTGTCCGAAAAAGACCAGCGGCTTCACGAGAAGGAGCGCCAGATTGAGGAACTCATGCTTAAGCTGGAGCAGGAGCAGCGGCTGGTGGAGGAGCTGAAGATGCAGCTGGAGGTGGAGAAGAGGAGTCAGCAGGGCGGAGGGCAGCAGCCTGAACCCAATCCATCAGTCCAGGTCAAAGAGGAGAACGGAGCCTCCCCGAGCTGCAACTCCAAGCAGAGTCCCCTGCGGCAAACTACAGGTGTGAAACAGGAAGAGCCACATGCCCAGCGGCACCACACCCCAGTCCAGCAGTTCTATATCAACACACAGCAAGTCCCTCAAGTGCTGCATCAGCAGACACTGACCAACACTCAGCCTGCCGCACAAATCCTGCTGCCCATCAGCCTGCCCAACAATCCCATCAGCACACAGGTCTCTTAACATTCATGAAATGCCAGTTCTATTTACAGTAAGGAAAATGTATAAAATAACAATCTCATTTGGAGTTTTTCTCTATACTTTTTGCAGGCGCAGACCGTTCTCCAACAAACAATGCCCAGTCAAAGCATCATACAAACACCACTTCTGCAAACACAGACGTCCAACAACACAATGTTACAACAGCATTCAAATCAGACGGCATCTCCACCTCAAGTAAGCAAAATGATTTACATCAAGCAAATGATCAGACGGGTGAAAAATATACCTTGTAGACATTAAAGAGGGGTCCTGATCCATGTCTAGAGTCACGGTTATCACCATTATCATGGCTGCTTTTCCACCGTTGGGTTGAACCATTCTCAGTGGTTAACTGTTCCTTTTGTAACACAAATGCAGAACACCCTACCACAGTGGCCTCAAACTCAATTCCTGGAGGGCCACAGCTCTGCAGGGTTTAGCTCCAACCAGCTCCAACTCACACCTGTTTGGAAGTGTCTAGTAATCCTGAAGACCTTGATTAGCTGGATCAGGTGTGTTTGATTAAACTGGGCAGAGCTGTGGCCCTCCAGGAATTGAGTTTGAGAACACTGCCCTACCAACTGCATGGCAGCATACTATCAAACACTCAAAACACTTTAGCAGTCCTATAGAAATGTTTTTGCAACCACCCCGAACACCCTAATAACTGACACCCTAACAAAGACCGTGCCACACCAAGCCGACAGTCGGTCATCAGCCAATGTCCAGCTGTCATTGAGCAGCTGTTCAGGCAACTGAGCATGTTGAGTTTGCAGCATAGTCTATTAGTGAGAGACCATTAAGATTAGCTGTTCAGCTTAATGCTGGGTTCACACAGCACGATTTTAGCCCCGATTTTCACTCGCCGACAGTTTAGTGGAAATCGCTGACAAATGCCCGAAATCAGAGGCAAATTGGTGCTCGTTCATGAGAGCGACAATCACATAGTGTGCGTTATCAAAGATACGATCTGAGAGAAGTGTTAATGCATCACCGATGCCCGTGAGATATTTGCCATGCCAAATATCTGGTCGGCGAAATGTGTTTTGACTGGAAATGACATTGGCAATGACCTACAGCCAATGAGAAAGCAGAATACAGGGCAACTGAAAGGAAAGTTCAGGTGAGTCATAATTGATCTGCAAGACAACATGAGGAAGCAACCATTCTCTCTTTAATATACTTATTTATTTTGTATTTTTCACTGCATATCAGTGTACAGATGACTTGGTTTGCAGGCTTTTTGCGGGCTACCATTTTTGACCGGAATAAATCCATGCTTGTGCGAGAACGCTTGTCTCTCACGTGAACTTGCGTTATTTCCTGTATCAATTCTCGCATGTGTTTGCCTTGTCTACAAAATATAGAGTTCTGGCATGAAACTCTAGATGGCGCAGTCCGATAGGTCTAACTCAATCTGACCTAATGACATCATTATCACATGGCACAGCTGATTGGTTCTCTCCTGTATCGGTAGCCAATGAGTTCGCTGCTCAACATTCAAATATATGACTAGTGCTTGCTGTAACAGTTGCAGCTTGCTTCAGAAACCCTTCACCTTCCCCAGCTCCACCTGTATAGATCTGCTACGAGGTGATTCATGTACACTATATGGGGGTTATTTCATGTATGTTATATTTGCAGCAGCAGTATTTCTTACATGCTCACAGCAGCATGTTGTGCATGTATTGGCAGTAGCAAGTCTCGGTACTTGCTCTGCCGCAGCAGCAGCGTAGCAGATCTATTCCGCCAAGACCAAATACATTTACATTATCATGTACATTACCATGCCAATCCCTCCGAGAGTTGTCATGACAGAACTACGTTTCACAACCAGAGTTGTCAACTACTCTTCCTATTGAAAATTAGTATTGCCTAATCCATCATGTAGTGTGCACACAACAGCAACTATATGGTACCCCAAACAGTCGTACAATGTGAGAAGAGCAGCAATCTGACGTCATTTAAAATCGCGCATTAGCAAACAAGAAAAAAAAACAGAAGTGATGAAAACAAGCAAACGGGAGACTTTGTATACGGTTTGTATATTCACAACCCTAGCTCTTGCGGTTTCCCTTTTGGAACGACTAATACAGATTGCTGCCATCTACTGGTATGGAGAGCAATTTAAGAACATATGTGCTGGTTGACCATTGGCTATAGTCTTTGTGGCGTGTTCAAGCGCATCTTTTCAGCTCAGACACAGGGCAATATATGAACTATATGAGCTACTTTAGACATACAAGGTAATTACGATATCCATTATGCACAATTCTAATTGAAAAGACACCACAAATAATGATATTTTACTTTGCAGTAAAATAGTAACACATTAATACAACAGTTAGAAAAGGATACACCATATGATCGGAGTTGTTTTGTTATGCATGTATACTTTAGGGTGCTTGTAGATCTTAACCTTTCCTCTTGCTTTCAATGTTCCTGCACTTCATAAATCCAGTTCAGCTCACTATTGTGATGACAAGGCCCAGACACATTTCTCTCTGATTTGGCACGTAGGTTGAAATGGAAAGCCTTTCTGAGGCCTGCAACATGTTCTGTGCTTATCTCTGTTGTTGCCCTGGCAATAGCAGTTGAGTTCAGGTGATACATTATCCTCTCAACTACATCAAACGCAGACCTGACTAAATAGGTGATAGAAGTAGAGAGTACAGAGAAAATCAGAAAGAGCACTTATCACTAAGACAGAGAGTTGGTTCGAGAACAAGAGGCCTCTGTTTACACACTGATATACACAGATGTTCTTACTCACTCAGTGCACTGGGCCTAAAACTGCCTCCTGCTGCATGTGTTTACAGGCTTTACCCCTGTGTGGAAGCTTGTCTTCTGGGTTTGAGTACAGACAGAACCAGAGCCAGCCCATGGCAGAAATGCCCCAGTGCTTCCTCAACAACTCGCCCAGACACACAAATGGACCTACTAACAAAGTAAGACAAACTGACCACTCTGTTACGTCCTGAAACATACTCAGCATACGCAAGCACACAAAAACAAATTCTCCTAGCTAGCACAAGCTACGTTTCAAGTGCTGATGCACTTAAAAATGGTTTAGAACTCATAATGCAAAACAAGCACACCATGCTTTCTCAGTTTTGCCATAAGGGGCGCTATATTGGGTATTAAACTATCTACACAGTGGGAGAGTAAACAGTCTTCTTCAGCTTCTTCAACTCAACTTGCTAGCTAACTATCATAAAATCAGAACAGAACACTTTAACATTGTGGCAAGTTTGCACAAGCTTTTAAATCTGTGTAATGCATATATTTATGTTTTAGGCCAAGATCCTTATATACTCTTGTATTCTCTTTATGTATATTCTATTGTATATTTGCCTAGTACTCTAGAGCTCTGCCTAGTAACCCCTATTACACAGTTTGAAAGTTATATGTTTTGTTCAGCCTCCCTCGCCCTGTCAGCTCAACTATATCCTTCAGCCATCAAAGTTCCCCAGTCACCGCAGCCCAAAGAGCAAAGACCCACCCCGTTACGAGGAGGCTGTCAAACAGACCAGAGGTCTGCAAGCCACAATGCAGGTAATTTAAAGTTAGGCCCAAAGTGTACTTCAGTTTTGACAGCCAAACACATAACCTTTCAAAGTATGCACCAAAAACTGAAAGTTTCATCTTTGTACAATGTCTGCGACATTTCTCTCCAGACGTTATATCTGATAATAAATATCTTCAAACTCATATAACCTAGAGTTGCGGGTATTTCTTAACCCGCTCATCAACGCCGGTGTCTTTTGTTGTTACCGTCTCTAGTAGTTTGTTGTAATGTTCTGTCTCTTCCGTTTCTTTTTCAAATATGAAACAATAGTGGTGCCACCTTGTGTACAGATGAATTAGTGCAAGAATACGCCATTAGAAAATATGCTGATGAAGAAATTTATGTCATGTATACTGTATGCATACCCTGGCATACGCATAAAAACTGAAGAATGCTCTGGGGTTTAGGTTAACAGACTTTCCCACTCGGAAATATGACTTCCCTCTGTCATTCATGTGCTCAGAATTTGAATATTTCCAACTCTATTTGAAGGGCACAGTACTAACTTTGCACACTTGGTAATCTATTTTGAACACTTTCTGTTGTCTTAATACCTTGTATTCTTCCATAAAGGTTCCTACTGCTACCAGTCAGCACATGGACGATTTGTTTGACGTTTTGATCGAGAGTGGAGGTGAGAAAAGACAAAACAGCTCTTGAATTTCAGCTACAATAGGTTTCTATAACTAAACCGTTTTCTGTGCTTTCCCAGAAATATCCCCTCTATCCAGGCAGGATCCTTCTCTGGACAAACTTCTTCCAGTGACCGCAAACATCACCACCCTGCCCATCAACACAGTGCTGTCTCGTCCTCCACCGCAGATACACGTTGCCCGTACGCCCAACCAAACCCAAGCGCCTCCACCCAACATGGTAGCCCTGGCCTCCAATAACCAGTTGGAGGCCCTGCTGGAGGACGCTGAGCCACGGACCCTGAGACTGATGGAGGAGCTTAAAAACCAGCTGCTGGAGCGGTCCCACTCCCCAATGGACACTTCAGATCTGACCTTCACCGACACGCCGCCTTCTGCCCTCCCTCTGCAAGACGCAGGCCTCGACAACATGGAGTGGTTGGACCTTACGATTCCAGGTGCTGCTGGTATCTCCTCACCGACTGCAGTCTTTTCATCTGATTTCTTGGACTCCACTGATTTACAGTTACACTGGGACTGAGCTCACAAAGGGATGGAGATTGGAGACGTTCTGAAAAGATTTGCAGATCTGTGTGCAAACCACTGATAGTGTAGCATCAGCTTTTCTCAATTGCACCTATACGTGCAGGTTTGTGTGCTGTTATTGTCACCAACACCTCTTTCAAAGCAGAAGAAGAATGTAGAGACACTTTTTTTCACCTGTATATTTAGGCAGTGAGCTTCTGCTTTTCATATTTTGAAGCAGTCTTTGAAACTGCTGGCCTATATTATAGAGAATGTTAGAATGTTGTTGTTTTTTTAGATTCTGATAAGTATAATTTCTTACCTAAGACAGAACATGTTTTAAATGTATCATATATTTTGGGGAAAGCAAAGGATTACAAGTACAATCATAGTGCCTTTGCTGTTTGCGTTGTCCAGAAACTCTGTAGTTTTAGAGTTAAAGGATAGTAAGTTCAAAAAAGTATTGTTCTCATTCCAAGCTCGGATCTTTCTTTCTTTCTGAACTCGAAAGAAAATGTTTTGAATCTCGTTCAGCTGTTTTTTTCCATTGGGATCCAAAACTTTCAAACTCCAAAAAGGACATAAAGGTAGCATAAAATTAATCCATATGACTTGACTGGTATATTCAAAGCTTTCGGAAGCAGCACAATTACTTTCTATGTTAAACAGATCAAACTTTATTTACTCAAAGTCTTTATTAACTCTCAAAACATACCAAAACATTAAGCAGTGCATACAGAGACTAAGTTAAATTTGGCTTCAAGAATTTCTTCTTCTTTTTCAGTAACATGTTTCACTCAGACATGTCACAATACAAAAGACTTGCATTTAATCACGACTTTAAATGTCAGACCTCACTGAATGTTGTATGTCATGTGCCCAATCAACATAAAGGCTTAAAAACTGCATATCATACAAAATGATTCATATGGATTCATTTCATGCTACCTTTATGTCCGTATTGAAGCTTGAAAGTTTTGGACCCCATTAACTTGATGGTATTAACAAAAACCAGCTGAAACGTTCTATAAAATATCTTCTTTTGTGTTGTTGAAGAAAAAAAGCCATTTGAGTTTGGAACAACATAATGACAGACTTATAATTTTGGGGTTAACTATCCTGTTAACTAGGAACCTGTTTAGTGGCTCATTTACATTCAACTGCCATGGTCAATGAGCTGTTAACTGTTGTGTTAGGGTACTCGAAATTGTGGCAGCTAAATAATAACATTCAATTTCTAAACATTCGAAATCATCCAGTGCATAGACTGGGAAAGGTCAGAGCGAGGTTGTTTACCAAACCCAGCATGAGGCCAAAGAGAGGGAGGGAGAGAGGCACACAAAACGCCTGACTAGGGGCCATTATTATCCCTATCAAAAGAGTAGATCGAGTGGACAGGGTTCAGCTCTTACAGTCTGAACTGACAGTGTTGCGTGTCTTGACCAGGGAAACAACTCTAAACAGGACCTGTGAAATTTTCATATTCAGATCAGAATGACAAAAGAGAGCAGCTGCATTTTGATTGGTCAGGCTCTTAACTGCAGTACAGATGTGTTTTTTGGACGTAGATGAACTGAAATTCACTGTATTTCAGAGTCTGAGCTTCTTTCTTCATAACCACTGAAATGCAGGTAGCTGGCAGGTAATTTGCCTTTGTTAATGTACCGAAACCTCACCTTCTCAGTTATTTGTAAGAATCAATTAGTTTTTGGTTTTAGATTTTTTTTTTCTATAAAATGTGACAATGTAGCGTCATCTGCTGGCACAGTTTGAAACAGATGTATCACCACTCCCTTCAGATGGATAATTATGAAATGTTTTCCTTCAGTGTTTGGCAGATGCAATAGCAGATTTCTCTTTAGACACGCTGTGAAAATATGCCATGCATGCCAAATAGTGCACTTACTTGACCTTGGACTGAACTCGTTGACAATCAGTTCCTTATCCAAACATGTTGTCAAAATGAAAGAATGTATTTCTATATTTAGAAATGTAATTTCTAAAGGGATACCATAGTTCTGTCTCTATCAGAGACCCAAAGCTTTTAATTTTGTAAACGTACCATTTTACTGCATTTATGCAGTTCTCACATATATTTTTCACATTTTATGGCTCTACATGTATTTTTTTAGTGTGAAAAAAGGCCCGCGGTCGAGTAAAATCCTATCATAAGACCTTAAATGAACCTGTTAAGATTATTAGGGTTTGTGTACCTTTTTTCAATATGTCCATCAGAGTAACTGCTCTGTTGTGAAGAGGAAAAGAAGAGAAATATATAAAATCTTACTGACCCTTTGAAGTGCGATGTAGAATGTATGCCTCATATTTTGCACGGTGTATATATTTTTACAATATACATTTTATACAAATGTATTTGTGCAACTGTAAATAATGTTTTGAGGTTATCTTTGTACATATCTTTATTGTATATACAGCCTTTTAACGATAAAATGTTTAACCATGTTCTGGCCCCACATAACCTTATTTAGCAAAGCTAACAACACAATAAATATACTTAACATTTGACAATTTACCAAAGATAATATTTTTAACCTAACAACCTACAAGATAAAATAATTTAGAATTGCTTTTAATCAGCTGAAGAACTCATACTCTACTGCATGCAAACAGAATCAGGCATTTGTTAAAGTACTGCCAGGGTTTCTGCAGATTTTATAAAGGTAAATTTTACACTTTTTAAGACCAAGTAAAGGAACTTTTAAGGAATAAATTGAAGGGAACACAATGTTTTCAAAATGTGAACGTCTAAGTAGCAAAGAATGGCTTGTATTAGTAATACTTCAAAATTCGAAAGTACAGCTTTCAACTAAACTCCATTACTTTTCAATTTATTTTACAAAATAAATAAATACAGCTTAAGGTTTAAATAGCTCTGCTCCCAACCACTAGAATATGGAAATTACTTAACTGTACCTTTTGATCACACCACAAAAAAAGTGATGTTCTTTTGAAATGTCTAAACATCCTTACATCAAGATACATTTACTTGGCAAGCAAGTCTGAAGATTGTCAAATTTGGTGAAAATCGGGCCAGTGGTTTAGGAGGAGAAGCAGGTTTTCAAAGAAAATCAAAATGCCAGACAGGACATTTGTGGTGTAATTAGTATCGATGGTATCAATGTTCTCAGCATGATCCAAGAAAATCTCAAGACCAGTTTCATGACAAAAATAATCAAAAGCTATTAGCATTTTTTGACCACAAGGTGGTGTTGCCCTGAAACTTTTTGAGTTCCATCAGGGCATGGTGCCAAAGACAAATACAGAGTTTCGTAACGATACGCTAATGCTTTTGTAAAATATAGCGAAGCTAAAGTCAAAATGGCCAACATGGGAAAATTGGGTATCAATCAACTTGCTATGCTGCACTGGAGTCACAGAGACAACTGTGGTCTTGATTTTTGACCAAACTGTTCGGAAGTTATAAGCAAAAATATAAATGTTTTCACATCACCTGACAACTAGGTGGCGCTGTGCCGAAACTGTGCAGGTACCCTCAGGTCATGGTTGTCATACACACCAAGTATAGTCTGAATAAACAAAAGCGTTGCATAGATATAGCCTCTTGTCCATTTTGATGTGTTTTTCTTTAATTAATTTGCTTGTTATTCAGGGCTAATTAACTTGAATTCCATGTTCTTGTTTTTTGTCAGCATTGTCTGAACATGATCTGATTTTACTTTTTTTTATGTAAATCAGACTAATGGTCTAGGAGGAGTTTGAAAAAGTAGGTTTTACGGAAAACTCAAAATATCGGGAACATTTTTATGGAAAATGACATTCAATCGAATTATCTTCAGCCAAGGAATCAGAAGAAAAAAAGAACCGTTGGTGGGTTTTTCTTTTCCTTTTACAAAAAAAAATGTATTCCTTTAATTTTAAATGAACATGAGTGCAACTTTGGACAGTTGGTGGCGCTAGAGGGATCCAAATCTGCTGTGGTTAATGCTCAGACTGTCCTCTATATGTGTGCCAAACTTCACAACTTTTTACCATACGGATTTATGGGCTGCCATAGACTCAAGAGCGAGAAGAAGAACATTAAAGGATACAATAGGTATCTACAGACCTTCGGTGGTTGGCCCCTAAATATCTGCCCATAGGCTCCGAAAAATCAGCTTAATTAAACCACATTGTTGCAGATTAGTGCTGTCAAACGATTAATCGCATCCAAAATAAACGTTTTTGTTTACACAATATATGTGTGTACTGTGTATATTTATTTTGTATATATAAAGACACACATACAGTATATCTTTTGAAAATACAATACACGTATTTACGTTTATATTTATATTCATATTATACATAAATATATTTAATATATAAATATAACATCTTTTTCTGAAATATATACATGCATGTGTATGTATTTATATATACATAATAAATGTACACAGTACACACATATATATTATGTAAAAACAACGTTTTTGGATGCGATTAATCGCGATTAATCGTTTGACAACACTATTGCAGATATGTATTATTGCTGTAAGCATAAACTCACTTAATTGTTTTCAGTTTTTGCAAGATTTCATTTTACATTTGCATTTCAAGTAAATATATCTTGACTTTCTACTCTGATTTAAGAACATTTTAAGGCCTAAAATTGTAAAAGGGCGATTTAAGACTTAAAACCGCACAAACCCTGATTGCATTTTCATTTCTTTTTGTTTTTATAATCCTGCACAACCTGAAAGTGTTCAGTGCTTTAGCAAATATTCAACCCAAAATTCTAATTTGGCATTGAATGTAAGTTCAAACCAGAAGACTGAAATCTCACAGAAGATTCAGACGTCTTGCATTTTCCTTTCGGTATGGATAGTTTTGGAGGCAGTTTTAAGGCAAACCGAAAAGTTGGCTTCGTCCCCACAAAGAGCGAACCGTGACAGCGCCATATCGTATCCTTTAAAAAAGCCACTTCAGGTAATTCCATGGGGACTGTCCCTGTAAAACGTTCAGGATGACACCGGCTGAAACAATTCCAGCAACCTTTTCAGTTCACATTGGGATTGAAACATTCCACTCCTCAGAGCTTTTTGCATGTTTTTATGTGACTCCGACATTTTGGACACTTGTGAACGACGTCTTTGCATCTATCCATGCAGAACGGGATGACACAGCAGCCAGCTATACAACTACACAAGAAACAGTCAAGAACACAAATATGTCATGTTTAACCCTTAATAGAAAGACATAATGGTAATCACACAGTGGCATAGTGGACGTATATGAGAATAAATAAAGTAAAATATCAGACGGCAGTTCATCTCACCAAAAAAGAATGGAAATAAGACACACAATATAGGCGGCACTGCCAGCTTTGGTTGTGACATCTGTGGTTATATACTGGCGACAGAATGGACACTGCGTCCGAGCTGAGTGTCGAGGAAGTTGCTCAACATCCAGAATCACCTGCGGAGCTGAGAAAAACAAACATGAGCCGCTTTCAGGAAGCTCTGGTCCTGTTGGATTTTGTATTTGCGTAATTGTCTCAAAACACTTCACATCTTACCATCACTGAAACTAGTGTTAAAACCTACTAACCTGGATAAGATGGACTGTCTGTAGATGAAACAGTAGTGTCTGAAATAACAAAAACATAAGGACATATGGAAAAAGAGCTGCACCTTCAAATACAAATGTCAAACTCCAAATGTTTAAGTATAATTCCTGTAAAAAAAAAAAAGATATCAAATTGCCATACCTATTAAATGATTGCCTCCCGACCTTTCTTGCAAATTCACCAGTTCAAGCTTCTTTTCAGTGAGAACTTTAAGCTGCTCATCGATCTCTTCAAGTTCTTCAGTCTCTCTGGAATACTCTGTTGGTTACAAGATCTCGTGTGAGCAACATTCGTTTTTTCCTTACGTACTGTAACACTATACAATGAGAAATCGCTATATTTGCATATATAGGCTAACCAGATTCTTTATTTATGGTTAATAATCCGTAAATGTCTTCCACTGTTTATTTGGCTTCTGTTATCAAGCAGTTCCAGTTAATGGGACTCACGTTGCTCATTCTGGCCATTGTTTCGCTTGAACTGGATGAGCATTGCCAGGATATTGCGTTTGTCAATCAGCTGCTGTCTGCGAGAGGACAGCCGGTTCAGCTCCTCAAAAATGTTTGTCAGCTGTTCATCAGGCATGTTGAGGGTTGAGATGACGCTTCACGTAAACCTCCTAAAGCCTCAAACCTTCATACAGCATCCACTCTGAAATAGATAGCCTACGATAGTTTCATAACAGAAATGAGCCGTAGCGTCCAGTCAAGAAGAACTGTTTAATACAAGTTTATTCCTGATATGAAAAATACTGTTCAACCCTAGTGCAATTACAAAATTAAAATAGAAAAATAAATTATATATTTTAATAATTACCCTGCAGTGTCTCTTCAGTCGCTCTTCACATTGCAGTAATAAGGAAATATGAGGCTGGTCATACTGTAGCTGAACAGTATGAGGAACATATCCTAATATTTAAAGTGTGTGGTTTACCTGTATTTTACTACCAACTCACATGGTGACAAGGGTCTTAAAATACAAACATCTACAGTTTTGCAGCGAATCTGGTGGGACTTTAATATTAAGCATTTTAACAAGCAGCAGCAATGGGAGTTAAATTGCACTTTTGAAAACAACTCATTTTCAGGTTTAATTATTTTGATCATTATAAAAGCAACATGAAATACACAAATATGATTTTTGTAAGCACTTTATGAGACATTTACTTCCAGTGAATCAGCTGTTTTGTGGATGTACCATGTATACATGTTAATAACTAGGCATCTTCGAAACGGAGGACTATCACACATTTGCATCTTTGCAAATGTGACAGTTTGGGTTTCTGTCCAACTAAAAGGAACGAAGAGCCTTTATCAAATGTATTCTAAGAATAGCTATTTAAGTTACTTGTTAGATTGCTTCAACAAGTGTCGTCTTCACAGGATAAGTTTACCTTAAAAAAATTAAGTTATCATTTACTCATTCTCATGATGAAAAAAATGCAAATGCAATTCAAATGTTTTCCCATTTTTTGTTCCACAGAAAAATAACAGGGGACAGTATTTGGTAGGGAACACCATGAGGATGAGTTTTTAGTTTTTGGGTGAACATATTTAAATAAACAAATTTCACCCATTAAAGAGAACTTCATTTGTTCATTTCCTTCTCAGATTCTTCAAAAACGTCACTTCATCTCTGTTCCTGATCCCGTAGCTGAGGACAGAGGAAACACAATCAAAACATATTATAAGCAATCACTGTGCACCAAATGAATACAAGTTAACACAGATTTGGACTCACTCCTTCAGCTTTCTTTTGTCATCTTCTAATTTTTCTCCATTGAAGACCAGATGAAATGTCCTCCACACGTATTTCCTTGACAGGGAAAGTGGATTAGGACAAAACAAACAAATACAAAATCACATCCTATACTTTTTTCATGTCTCACCAGCTGATGTGCTTGACACCTCCCTCTCGTTGTTGTTTTAGCTCCATATATCTGCGAATGGCTTTCTTCAGATCCAGAACCGTAGCAGACTGCACAACCACAATAGCTGTGAAAAGATTTGCTCCAGTTAGAATCAATAAATGTATAGCAATTCCAACTAATTCCAAGAAAACTCACGCATGACTTCTCCATCAGCCTTACAAACACGAACAGTCATGGCTTGACCATATTCCAAAGCCACCTGAGAGTTCACCTCCTCCAACGTGACCTGAACATTTAAAAGATCAGAAAAGATTGGGAATTCTAGACCTTACATTCAAACATGTAGCTTGTTTCAATATTTTTATATTAAAACGAATTCTTCATTGTTGTTTGATGGTAGACCTGAATTGGCAGGTCGCACAGTAAAGGGTCCTGGACCATCAGAGCCAGTCCTTCCTCAAAGATGTCAAGAAATTCAGAGTGTGGCAATGCCTCCTCGTCGTCTTCTTCTTCTTCTTGCTCTTCTTTAATTTCCTCTACGACAGTTTTCTCCTCAAGCTCAGCCTCGTCGACATTCTTTAGGTTTTCTTCCTTTAATTCATCCATTTTCAACTGATGACAAGCGAAAACTTCTTGATGTATGTCTAACGTTACATCCAGAAATACGAGACATAAAGTCGTCAAGTTCTTTTCATGTTTATGAAATGAATTAGTTAATTTATACGGAATTATGGCACAGCTGCTAAATTATTTCTGAGCTTTTAAGGTGCATACCGCCACCTCCTGTGCTGGAGTGTGAAGTCTACAGTTCTGTTACGTTCCAGCTTTGCTTATATCCATTTTTTTGTCGGAATATTTCTGTGATGCACCAAACTTTAGTTCCGCATACGTTTCTATGTTATATTTCCGATACTGACTATACAATTCTTAACATTTAAATAATTTAATTTAACATGTATATAGTTCCTGGCAGTTCTAGGTATATATAACATTACTATATACCCTATAATTAATGTTTATTCGCGTTTATATTTCGTTTCATGTCGAGCCTAGAGTAGTGAGGAACGTTATCGTGTATCCTGTAGCGACTAGACATGAGAATGTGTGTAAACACACTTCATTTGCATCAGAAAAAAAAACAATAACAGTATTTAGTATACAGTACTATATATATAACCTCTTGAAAATGCTCCTGTTTTGTCCAACTTGTGGGAATGTGTTAATCGTTGAAGAGGGACAGAGATGCTTCAGATTCGCGTGTAACACATGTCCATATGTGCACAACATCACGAGGAAGGTAATGAGTTACCATTACAACATAGGAACGCGTTTGGAACATTTTGTTTAAATATGTGCTTATCTGTAGTTTGTTTTTAAACGGAACACAATAAAATACTTTGAAGATGAAATGATTGGACATTATGATTCAAGCATATCTGATGATGCGAACCTTCGATTAGATTACTCGTGGAATAAAACGATTGTTCGATTCCAACACGTGTAACATGTGATTCGAAAACATGATAAGATTGAAGTTTATAACATTATAACGATATAACACACTAAATTCGCATTAAACAATGTGTGTTCCATTCAAATGCATGTAATGCTGGAACAAAACGTGAAATTTTCTTTTAGAATATATGTAATACGTTTATTTGAATGCAAAATAAATAATGTGACTTTTCGATTCCGTGGCTGCTGCATCCGAATAAGCATACGGGAAGTATGAAAGACATGTTTTCTACATAGTATCAGCCAGATACTTTGTAGTAGGCGAAAAGCAGTATACGAAAACAAGTACGCAACTGTAGGTCACATGATAATCTGAACATGACAGATGTGGTATTAATAAATACACAAATTTGTACTACATAAAAAAATTTGAATGGTCACGAATTAAATACTTGTTTAAAAGAAGTATCTGCTTTGAGAATATGTATTTTCAGATGCCACCAAAGGATTTAAACAATGTGTGTTCCATTCAAATGCATGTAATGCTGGAACAAAACGTGAAATTTTCTTTTAGAATATATGTAATACGTTTATTTGAATGCAAAATAAATAATGTGACTTTTCGATTCCGTGGCTGCTGCATCCGAATAAGCATACGGGAAGTATGAAAGACATGTTTTCTACATAGTATCAGCCAGATACTTTGTAGTAGGCGAAAAGCAGTATACGAAAACAAGTACGCAACTGTAGGTCACATGATAATCTGAACATGACAGATGTGGTATTAATAAATACACAAATTTGTACTACATAAAAAAATTTGAATGGTCACGAATTAAATACTTGTTTAAAAGAAGTATCTGCTTTGAGAATATGTATTTTCAGATGCCACCAAAGGATATATATATATATATATGGTGTGTGTGGAAGTAACTTGGATATTTTGACAGGTAAATAACAGAAAGTACCCCAAACTGAAGGAGGTTGATGATGTTCTCGGGGGCTCTGCTGCTTGGGAAAACGTGGATTCCACTCCAGGTAAAACAGTGTATCTTAGTGTTATAAAAACTACTTGTATGCACAGTGAATATTTTACAACACGTTCTGGTGGCTTTAAATGAATGTTTTTAATCCTTCTTGATTCGTTTTGAGGTATAACACTTAATGATATTTCTTTGCAGAACCTTGTCCAAAATGTGAGCACCCAAGGGCCTACTTTATGCAGATTCAAACTAGGTCTGCTGATGAACCAATGACAACCTTCTACAAGTGCTGCAATCTACAATGTGGGCATCGTTGGAAAGACTAAATCAGAGACCTCAGATTTGGGCTTTGTTTGAGGCTTAGAATATGTGCTCATATTAGAATATTCAGTTTTCATATAGAAGATTTTATATTTATTTGTTGGAGCCATAACCGTGTCATCATGTATTTGGATTAAAAACCACAGATACCCTTTATGCATCATTAACTACTTTATTTTCACTTTTACAGAATGTGTATGTATCATTATGACAGTAACTATATGAGCTTCGTTGGCCTGATGACTGATTTTGTGTGTGTGCGCGCGCATGCAAGTAATAAAATTACCGCTTGTATATGATAGTTTGTCTTTTTATTTGTTCAAATAGTCAGTCCATAAGTTGTTTTACATACACATTTGAGACTTGAGTTGAGCATGGCATCTGGTGTAGTGCCATATACTATTCTCAAGGCATCTATCTACAGCTGCATTCCTGTAATACAAGCTTGACATCTATTGTCTGCAACAGCATCAAGTCACTTCACAAAGCAAGTAGACCTACGTAGTCAAGAACATATTAAATTAAAGGGAGCCAGACTGGACTGCAAGTAAACCCCATGATCATGCATACATATTTACTGGAGATTAGACAGACATCATGTAGTTTTTGCAGATGATGGAGAGGTGTCTTGATATTACAGGTCATGGTTGATAGGATGAAGTTAAGCTGGATGGGATGAGGTAATTATTTTTTTCTTCAGTCAGACAATAGTACATTGGAATTTTAATTGCTGAATACTTTGAAATCAGAATTTAATGTGGCAGTTTGTAATACCTGCATACGCATATAGGGCAAATGCTATGAAAATTCAGTGTTTATTTCTGATTAAAAAGATATGAGGCTTGTGTGCATTTACCGAGCGACTGCTACATTTTGTGTTAAATAGTACAATGGAAAGATGGAAAATCTGATTGTTAAATAGCTATAATGTTGGCAGATTGTTTACCAGAAAAACAATTATTATCTGAATCTTCATTTAAAACTACACTATGTAACTTTTTGATGAAAACAAATAATATTAAAGAGCTAGAGTAAAAAAGCCCTTAATTCACCCAAATACAATTTAATTACCCTATAATAATTACTTATTGTTTTAGAGCAATCAGGACGGATTTTGCGGGAAATTGCATAGGCTACAACATTCTTCCGTGCGTTGCATTATTTATCAGCATATATCCGTACACAGAGAAATATCTTAGCGTTTATGTTGTGGGAGAAGCGTGACGCTTAAAGCTGCAGTCCGTAAGTTTTGCCTCTTTGTCACCATCTCTGTTTGAAAACCTGCAATTGCAGCTGTGTGTGGAATTATCTTCCTTGCGTGGTTTGTGAGGCGGCACGGCTCCAGCGCGGATGAATCTAATGTTTTGAAGAGTATGTGTGGCAGTCAGTTACCACACCGGTGTGGATATTGTACTTTGCACTCACAGATTCTAGCCTACGTCTTGGAATATATGACTCAAATAAGCATTTTCACCGGATATTGTCATCTGAACAAGTAAGTAACACGTCTGCCACGTTTGTTCTGACCAACTGAGGAAAAAAGCATTACAATAAATCGCGCTACCAATGGTGATAATCTAAAGATCGGTTAGTTCATATCACATCAAACCATGCAAATTATTATTATTGTTATACTTTATTCTTAAATTGTTAATGTTAACAACATCAGCATTACGTGACTATGTGTATAGTGTGTATTAGCGTGTAGATTTCAATTGTCTTTAAAATACAAATCTTTTGTAATCCCAGGCTATCTGTAATCAGAAGCACTTTTAAAACTGGAATATAATTTAATTTCATTCACATGTGTTTCATAAACACATAATCCTTTCTGGATTACAATCAGCCATCAAAATGATACATTTAATTATTCCAGCTGCTGTGAGAAAAGGCTATAAACAATCCTCCACCTGCAGGATCCTCAGTCACATGCGATAGTCTAGTAGCCGGGACAACTTCTTTATGTTTACAGACGTGACATAATGACCCAGCAGCATGCTCGAATTTCCCGCGAAAACCTACCCATACCACTCAAATTAGAAAACATTATTATAAGCTAACCGTTGTGAATTGGGCTAAAGTAAGGCGATAGTTTTGAACACTGGCTGGTTGTGTACTTGGTCAAATGTTGATTTCGGATCATTTTTAACCAAAAAAAAGTTACGGACTGCAGCTTTAAAGTTTGTGGTCACAACAAACAAGAAAAATGACCATGGATCATTCAACACGGGAAATCGCGATTGTAAAATCAAAGAAACCCCGCGGTCCGTCAAACTACATTCATCCACAACACGTAGAGGGCCAGAGCCGAAGCACAACCAAAACAATGTTCTTCCGCAAGACGCATGCAGGTTTATTTTTTTAACCGCTACAGACCCAAATGTTACTTAGTGTAGTTTTATAGAAAAAAATTAAAAACAGAGGTAAATAGAAATATATAGTGTCTAAGCACTGCTGATCTTGTAGCTTTTAAATTTCGTACCATTTCAGCAGTAAATCACATTTATGGACAGAACAAAATGAACAGAAAATGTACAATTTCGCAGCCAGGTCAGACAACTAATAACCCTAACCAAATAAAGGAAACAATCTCTTTGGATGATTCCATATAAATCACAATCTGACCACAAAAAAAAAGGAAAATCAGGACAATCATCCTTTAAATCCTTGTGGCCTGTTGCACAAAGTATTAATAAGCGAAGGGTTAATCTGCTTTGAGTTATGAAGCCTAGTGCAGCAACCAGCACAGCGTGACACACTGAGGGCACATATGGCCCAACAGAGCGCTATGCAAGATTACAGTGATATCATGCAGCGTCCTTCATCATGCTGGTGAACTCCAACAGCAAAGCAGCTTTGAACAGCCTTAACCGGAAATGTATTTTCCTTTTTAAACACGACGACTTCACAATGTCAAGTAGAAATGAAAAAATTATGCAACAACCACTTCTAAACATGTTCTTCAGCAGAATAACTGTTAAAGGATGCTTATGTTATTATAGATGTTTCTACGCCAACCTTAGTATCAGCAAACACAGATCTACCTTGTTAATGATTAATAAACTGACCTGAATAGCAGATGATAGTTTACAGAAGTCTCAAACAGCCTACTACTGACAACACAGAACAGCTAGTAAAGTGGTTTGAAAAGCACCGTGGCTATACAGTATTTTTGATTCACAGTTCAAAAAGATTAAGTGTATATTGGTTGAATTCCACAAATATGTCCCTAGCATGGCATCTCTAAAGTACTAAAAGGAGATTTAGATGGACATACAGATCCCTTTAGCAGTAGAAATACTTCATCTAAAATGACACAATGCCTGTTACATTGATACGCATATATCAAATTGACTTGAAATGAGCCTTGTCGACAAATATAAGAAATCAAAAACAAAAGTGAAAGAAAAAAAAATCCCATGACATTTGCATAAATTGCCAAATACGGTAACATTTTCACATGTAAAAGCAACAATGTTACCCCAGGACTTCAAAAGTCCCAGCCATCAAAGACTTTCATTTTAATAGGTTAAAATAAAACAATAATGCATACAATAATAATCCTACAATCCAACAATACTGACCCTGAAGTGAACTTCATTTAGTTTCGCTACTCAGTAATATTCACAAACGAGCTTTTCAAGGTTAATGTTTTCACATATTCTCTAAATGTATACACTTAGTATATGTATATGCTCTACTGCTAAAATAAAAATAAAACAGTACTTGGATGGCACAATGTAACCCTGACCATTGTGCATATAAAATGTACCGATCCTTCAATGACCGCTAATCACCTCTGCTTAATTTTACAGGCATCAGTAACTATGCCAAAATGTGTGAGAATCAATAGTTACATGAAGTGAGAAGTGGCTGGAAATATGAACTGTCAGTTGGGGCAAAATGAACACGAAAAAGCGAGTCATCGACACCCACCAGAAAGAGGTCACAGCAAGATCGTTGATGGGATAAACTGTTAGCATATGCGCTTGTATGTGTAAATATAGCCCTTGCAGTTCGGGCAAGTGTGCGTCACATCCTTGAGGTCGTCAATCAAACAGGGGATCAAGCAGCAACCTAGATCACAACTGCAAAACAAAGACAAAAGTCAGAAGGAATCTCAAAGAGGTATTATTGTATGTCACTGAGGGCTCATTATGTATTCATTTATTCAAAACTAAATTAAAAATGCAATTCAGGCACGACCTGAATACACCTCTTCTACTTTGAAAACTGCTTTAATTTCCGTACTAAAATTCATGTACACCACCATTCAAAAGTTGGAGTCAGTAAGATTTTTAAACTAAATGAACACTTTTATTCACTAAAGATGGATTAAACTGATCAAAAGTGAAAGTAAAGACTTTTACAATGTTACAAAAAAAAATTCTTCTTCAGATAACTCTTGTTCTTTTACATTTGTTATCATGGTTTCCACAAACATAATAATGGTTTTCAACATTGATAATAATAAGAAATGTTTCTTGAGCAGCAAATCAGCATATTACAGTGATTTCTGAAGAATCATGTGACACTGACGGCTGGAGTAATGATGCTGAATATTCAGCTTTGTTTCACAACAATAAATTACATTTTAAAATATATATAAACAGAAAACAGTTGTTTTACTGTATTAAGATCAAATAAATACCGCCTTAGTGAGCATAAAAGCCTTCTTTCAAAAACATGTTTCAAAAAAATCCCCAAACCTTTGAACAGTAATGTAGTAGATATTTTTGGAGGGGCCCAAAAACTAAAAAAATTGTCATGGTGATACAACTGTCCTGAAATCATAATGGGGGAAAAAAGCCATAATGTGAAATGTGAAAACCTAATTTAGTACTTCAGCATAAGCTTTTATTATTATTTCTTAGAAAAATGAATGTCTGTCAAATCAAAAACATGAGGTCCAACCAATATCAAGAAAAAACATGACAGAAAGGTGATTTCATAGAGAGGTCCAGTGCTATTTTAGTATCACTGAGAGACTGTTATTGTTTTTATTAATATTTTGAATGAATCATATATATATATATATATATATATATATATAGAGGAATAGAGGTCATATCATCAGATCATATTGAGCTGTCCAGTTCCACAGCTCACTTACCCGACAAAGAAGCAGAACATACAGATAAGAGTATTCATGAGGCCGATGTCGTGGCTGATGCGGGTGATGATGGGTTGTTGGCAGTGTGGACAAACCGTCTGCACTGGAGCCGCCTGGAACATCTCCCCCTGTAGAACAGTGACGGTGGTGGCGGCACCAGGAGGGGTGAGGACTGTGGCTGTGTGACCTGGAGCAAAGTGACTGGGCCCCGGACCATAGTGCTCGGCTATCGGATGAGGAAAGTGTCCAGGCGGAGCATAGTAACCACCTGCAGCACATAAATTATTTTTACAGATCTCTGCACACAATAAATCTCGTAGACAATGTAGCTCGAATTTTGTCTAAAATGAGAAAAAGTAGGTGAAATCTAGTATTAGTTATAATGAAATGTTTTTTTTAAAGGGATAGTTCACCCAAAAATGAAAACTCTGTCATTAATTACTTATGCTCATGTCGTTCCAAACCTGTAAGACCTTCTTTCATCTTCAGAACACAAAGTAAGGTATGTGTGATGAAATCCAAGAGCTTTCTGACCCTGCATAGACAGCAAGGGAACTACCACATTCAAGACCAAGAAAGGTAGTAAGGACATTGTTAAAATAGTCCATGTGACATCAGGGGTTCAACCATAGTTTTATGAAGTTATGAGAATACTTTTTGTGCGCAAAGAAAACAAAAATAACGACTTTATTCAACAATTTCTTCTCTTCCCTGTCAGTCTTTGACGCGCGTTCACGAGAGTAACACGACGCACGAAGGCCTTGCGGGTTTGGAACGACATGAAGGTGAGTAACTAATGACAGAATTTTCAGTTTTAGGGTGAACTAACCCTTTAAAAAACAACTCTATTCCTGTCGTATCTTGCATAGTAGCACTGCCCACAGTGAAATCTCATTAGTGCAAAATCTCTTAATGTAAATTAAATAGGCTAAACATTAACCAGCATTAAATTACTTCTTTAACTATTAAATAGACCGTTCACAAAAAAATTCTGTCATCGTTCACCTTCATGTTGTTCCAAACCTGCTTCTATCTTCTGTGTAACACAAAAGAAGATATTCAGAAAAATGTTCAAATGGTTTCGGGGCCCCATTGACTTCCATAGTGTAAGCAAAAAATCTAAATAAAAATAAAAAAAGGAAGTCAATGGGAACCAAAACTGTTTGGTTCTTC